CGGGGACCTGGGGATCCGGCGGCCGCGGTATGCAGTGTGAACGGGTCGGGATGTCTGTTCTTAGAATCTAACAGCCCACGCCTGTCGGGTGTGGGAGAAACCATGACATATTTTGTCGATGTGAGCTGTCTCGGGACTCTCATGACACTTTTTTGTAACAAGGCACGAGGGAGAGAGAGAGAGAGAGAGACAGACAGAGAAAACGACGCGACGTCTGTCCGCTCAAGCCGCAGCTCTACTTCGCTCCCAAAGCGAGGCCGAACGTCCCGAAACCGAAGTTCTACAGTCCAACTCGGCTCAGTCGTTCTTCCACTCCTTCGAGCCGATCACAGTGCAGTTAAGTGAGCACTGCATCATTACCCTCTCGCCATCCAGCTCCATGGGAACCTTCGAGGACAAGAAATAACCGCAACTGCCTGTACTGAACTCTCGTGGAGCCACGTTGAAGTTATTGTCGCCCAGCTTCACCGGAAATGTCTTGGCATTCTTCATGAAGCTCTTGCGCGTGCAGAGCGTCGACTGCTTCTTCTTTGCTGCGCCTGGCTCGCCTGGCTTCCTGTCGGCCCTCTTCTGCTTTGCGCCCGCGCTGGGCTGGGCTGCGGGGGCCACCGCCGCCGAGGCCGCGTCCTCGTGCTGGTCGTTGGCATCCTGCAGCTCGGCGATCTTGGCCGTGACCACCTCTTTGACCTTCGCCTTGTGCTCGTCCAGGGCGCCCGCCGCCATCCCGCACCGGGTCTCCAGCAGCCCGCGGACCTCCTTCATGGACATCTGGGTCAGGTCCTGGCCCTCGAGGATGGCGGCGACGTGGCCCCTGAGCACATCGTCGGAGGGCAGGGCCGCCGCGCCCGGCGCCGGCTGCTCCGGCGCGCTGGCCATGGCGGCGGGCACGCGCTGCGAGGCCGCCGGCAGCAGGCCCTCTCCGGGACGCGGGGCCCCCCGCGGCGGGAGCCGGCGCGGCTATACGGAGCGGGCCTCGCTCGGCACGGCCTGGGGCCTCTGCCTGGCGAGCCTCTCGCAGGTCTCCTCGGGACCACCTGGGCCGTGGCACCATCAGCCAGCCCCCCTGGTTGTCCAGAAGATGACTGCCTACCAGACCACCCCAACCCAACCCGAAGACCCGAATCTGACCCGAAATTCGGGTTGGGGGGGGTACGGGTTCCATGTGTTTTTTCAATGTTCCCCGACCCCCCCCACTGGAAATCGAGGATAAATTTGGGCCTTCGGGTTGGGTTGGGGTGGTTTGGTGGTTGGTCCAGAAGGGGCACAAAACTGCGTGAACACAGAAACTCCTGGCGCTCCGCGCGGACTTCTTGGCTCTGCGCTGGGACCCCCCGTCCCTGGCGCGCGGACCGCGCCAGGGGCGGCGCCGGAGGCGCCGCCGGGTGGTGGCCAGCGCGGATGCACGAAATCCGTGCGGAGCGCCAGAAGTTCGTGTTTATGCCGTTTTCTTTTCCTTCTTCGATTATCGGCGACCAGGTTCAATTTGCGCGTTGCCCTGGCTTAGCTCCCGGCAGCCGCAGCCTGCACCCCCACCCGCCGGCCCTGCCCGCCGTGGTGATGCCTGAGGCCCAGCCGCCTTTAGGTGATTCGCCTTTGCGCGGCCCGCTCTGACTCGACTCGCCGTTTGCGCTTTCGCTTGCGGCTGCTGAAAAAAATATCGGCGACCAGGACACATCAGCGCTCCAATCCAAACAAACATATCGTATCGCGCTGCCCGTCGCAAGTCGGAGTCACCGCCCCAGGGAGCCGCGGCCCCTCGTGTGCAGTGCAGCGAGCTGGAGCTCCCGGGGCCACGACCCTTTGCAGAATGTGCTGGGTCCACGCTCGCAGGGGCAGGTTTGCCTCCTCCTCCTCCTCCTCCTGCCTCCTCCTCCCCATCATCCTCCTCCCCTCCTGCCTCCTCCTCCCTCCTCCTCCTCCCTCCTCCTCCTCCTCCTTCCTCCCTCCTCCCTCCTCCTCCCGCCTCCGTCCTCCCTCCTCCGTCCTCCCTCCTCCCTCCTCCCTTCTTCACTCTCCTCCCTCCTCCTCCCATCTCCCTCCTCCTCCAACCTCCCCCTCCTCCCCCCCCACGGGAGCCCCAAGACCACGCTGCAGAGTGTCTGGCTGCAGCCAGCGCCCCACCAAGAGGAAAACGCCGAAGCAGGAACGAAAAGTGGCTTTTCCCACCACGGGGACCACGGGGCGCCTCGGCTTCGAATTGGATTTCCCGACCTAGACTTAGCTAGGGCGTGTCCCCTTCCAGGCGAACCTTGGACGAACAATCAAACATGCTCAACACATATATTTGAAAGGAGCCACAGGGTGTACACACCGAATCGCCCTCCTACTATTCTTGACAAGTTCTGACTCGTTCCTCGAGGGACAGGCCCGGCTGGAACCTGGACCTTACGGAACGCCCCGAAACCCAGTAAAACAGGGCTAGGATCTGGATAAATCGCTCCAGAGCGTTCCGGAGCGCTCTCAGAGCGTTCCGGAACGCTCTGGAGCGGCCGCGGCGCCCAAAACACCCTCCAAACCCGCCGATTCTCGGAGATGTCGAGCTGTCCCGATCCGATTTTGCCCCGATCTTCGCGCCGTTTTGCCCAAAGCCCCTCCCGAACCAGCAAAACGGATCCCGGGCGACAGGTGGCTCTCCTCGCCTTCGGCCCCCCCGGGGGGCCCTCCCCCCGGCCCGGGAGGGCCGTCCCCCCCGAGGAGCGCCTGGCTCTGCGGCGCTGCTCCGCGGGAGGTGGGGGGCCCGGGGGCTCCCCGGGGGGCCTCCAGCAGCACGTGCCCAACATTTCACGGGCGAGGAGCGGTACAAGGTAAACTTTTTCGCCGTCGGGGACGCCTGCCCCTGGGCTAGAAAAAATCATACCCTTACGGTGGCACCGTAGGGGTATAACCCTTCTAGCCGCCCAGGGACAGGCGCCCCCGACAGCGAGAAGGTTTATATGTTATACCGTTCTTCGCTCGCGGATCCACACGCGCACCCCGGGGCCCCGGCCCTGGGGGGTCCCTCTCTCCACAGGAGGGGGAGGCACGCCGCTTGTCACCAACCGCTGCCGCTCCGCGCGGACTTCTTGGACCTGCGCTGGGCGCGCCAGGGGCCGCGCCGGAGGCGCCACCTGAAGGGCCCAGCGCGGATCCGAGAAATCCGCGCAGGGCGCCCAAAGTTCCTGGTTGTGCAGTTGTCTCTTCTTCGATTCCAGCGTCGCTCTCCCCAATCCCGGAGCAGTCAGCCTCGACTCGCTGAATCATCTCGGAAAGGACCGTGCTTTGAGCCAGGCTGCGTCGGCACGGAGCCGCAATCGAAGGGGGCCGACCGCGCCAGGCTGCACAACCACGAAGGGCAAGACCTGGGCCGCCCAGGGCCGCCAGCAAGGCAGAATCGAATGTGATCGAGATGGCGAATCGGATCGATCGAACCAAAATTGGCCCAACATCCCTCCCTCCTTCTCCGCTTTCCCCTCTCGCTCCCTCTCCTCCCTCACGGTGTTTGAAGTGCGCTGCCGGGTGTAGACCCCCGCACTACGGAGAGTTGAATAGTACAGGGGTGAAGAATAGCTGTCCCTACGTGATTCGCACATTTTTCTCAGTCATTGTGGGAGATTTGAATGTACATGCTTATCCCTAGCTCTCTCCGTGCTCCCCCAGGCCCCCTTCTGCGGGCGCGGGCAGGGAGCACCGCTCCCGCGCACGGGTGCGCTGTATTCTGGTGCCCGAGCAGATGGCCTCCATGCCAACGTACTGTATGATGGAGCCAGACCTGGGGAGGCGGCTGAGGCCGGCAGGGCTACAGGCGGAGGAGACGGCGGCGAAGGACGTGACGTATGCAACGTCTCGACCCAACCTTCGAGCCTGGTTAGCCGACGGCCTGGGAGAGCAGCTCGGCCGGCCATCTCGTTAGCTTGGGACCCATGAGCCGCTGGAACGCTTCCTGAGAAGGAGCAAGGGGCGGTGGAGGAGGAGGAGGAGGAGGAGGAGGAGGAGGAGGAGGAGGAGGAGGAGGGAGGAGGAGGAGGAGGAGGAGGAGGAGGAGGAGGAGGAGGAGGAGGAGGAGGAGGAGGAGGAGGGGGAGGCTCACTACCTCTAGCAGGGGACAAGTCAGGGGGGGGGGAGAGGGGAGCAACGGGGCGGGGCGCCCATCCGATGGGGCCTCAGCCGGCCGCCTCCCACAGGCTGGGGGCCCGAGGGCGGCGGCGCGGGGCCCTCCAAGGCTACTTGCCTCCGGGGCCCCTTCTCCTCCATGCCGAGGCTCGAGGCCTGAAAGAGCGGCACGCCATCCGCAAGCATAGGGGGGAACAGGGGCGCCCCACTCCGCGCTGCGCGCGGATCGAAGCGCGGAGCGCGAATGACTTTGCGCCCGCGCGACGCCCCGCAGGGGAGAAGAGGAGGATGCGGAATCGGAGCCCAAGCGCGAAGCGCGAATGACTTCGCGCCCTCGAGGGCGCCCTTGGGGAAAGGGGTCCTCAGGGAAACGGGTCCTGGAGCCTGGTGCTTTCCCCCGGGACGAGTTTCTTTCATCCTGAGCCGGTGTCTGACAGTCCCGGGGCCCGTGGAGGGCCCCGAGAGCCCGAAAGCAGCAAACAACCTCAGGACCCGTTACCACATAGCGAGTCCGCTTGCAAGGATAGCGTGTCGCCGCGGCCGCCGCCGCGACACGCTGAGCAAAAGCGTCTGACCGTAAACATGCACTTTCTGAGCTCCGCGCGGATTTCTTGGATCGGCGCTGGGCCACCCTCCCTGGCTCGCGGAGCGCGCCAGGGGCAGCGCAGTAGGCGCCACCAGGGGGGTCGAGCACTGATTAAAGAGAACCCGCGCGGACCTCCAAAAACACTTGCTTAACCTGTCGCGGTGGCGGCCCGGGCGACACGCCTTGCCCTGCGAGCGGATAGCGTGTCGCTTCGCTCCGAGGGCGGGAGGCTCGAAAAGGCCCTTGACGCTGAAGTCTCGGGCATGAGAATGAGGAGAACAATGACAGTGTTGGGAGAAAGGGGTCGGGAGGATGAGGAATATGAGCAGTAGCATTCGGATGTAAGGCACGATGCCTTCGACCGCCTACGGGTACTGACATCCCCATTTCTCCCAGCTTCACCCTCCCAGCCCGATCTCTGCCCTCCTGGGAGAAGTGGATCGCATTGTGGCGCCGAAGCGCGAAAGGGCCAGAACCGGCGGAGCGGCACGCTGAGCCGTCAGCTCCGGACCGTGTGCACATTGTGCTCTTCTCCTCCGTTCCGCGTCTACGATTCTGATTCTTATTGTTTCTACGATTTCGACTACACGCAAGAGCGCCCCTGGGTAAGAGTGACCTTTGGTGCGCGGACTACGGGGGCGCAACGCGGCCAAATCCAGGCGCGCCAACAGCCGCTATCGCGTCGCGCGGAGCGATCGGGGGACCCAGATGAGCCCGCACCACAAGGTCACTCCAGCGAAGGGTCACTCTTGCGCGTAGTCGATTATTCGTATATTATACTTCTTTTTGCAAGGGAGAAAGATATATATATATATATATATACATAATATACATATATATATAGAGCGAGAGAGAGAGAGAGGCCCGGGGCGAGCCGCCGATGTCTCATGCCCTCAGCTGGCCCTGCCCGGACCTTCAGCCCGGCCCTCCTGCCCGCTGAGCCCGCGGCGAGCGCTCGAGCTTCTTCCGCGTGCCCCCCTGCTTCCCCAGCGCGTACGATATCTCGCCCTCCTCGCGCCCGTTGCCCTCGCGGAACACCATCGTGTCCGTGCCCCACGTGCCGGTCTCGTCCTGGAGGGCAGGGGCGGCAGCAAAAATCGCGGCCTCCTGGATGGGGTCGGAGTGGATTGAGGGGGCCCTGGGACGCGCAAATAAACAGACACGAATAGCCGGATCCCAAATAGTTTCCCATATTTTTTGCTGGGTGTTCGTATCCCCCCCCACTTCCCATCTTTTCCCATCTTTCCCGGGGAATCGACGATGACCTGTGTCTCTGTGTTTTCTCCCCTCCTGATATCGAGGCCTCCTGGATGGGGTCGGAGTGGATGGGGTCGGAGGCTTGCGCCGCATCGGTGGTGCCCCGGCGATGCACCAGCGATGCACTGGCGATGCACCGGCGACGTCGGCGTGGAGGAAGTCGGGCTCCGCACCGGCGATGCATCGGCGATGCACGGCGCGACACTCCGACACCCGTCTGCTCGGACCCCTTTGCTCGGACGGAGCCCAGGAAGGCAGGCTCCAGGAGGGGCCCGTCGAGCTGCCCTGGAGCGTTGCTGCTTACCTTAGGTCGGGCATATCCCCTCTACAGGCTGATTTCGGGGGGGGGGTATTAAACAAATATTCAAACACAATTATCAAACAAAGATTTGTAACATCGTCCCCAGACAAGTGTTGCTGACATATTTTTGAATACACTCTTCCTGTAGAGGGACATGCCCGCCCAAAAGTGCTGACCCTGGCCATGTTCTGGGCTCTTCAGGCCGAGGGCCCTGGGGCGCCGCCACGCAAGGCCCCGACCGGGCCGTGCTGGCCGGCGGAAAGAGTTGAGCAGGGACCGACCGTCCTGGCATGCCTATAGTCACACCACGAAATGTTCTTAGAATTCAAGAACAGTTCTTAAAACAAAAACAGTGTTCTTAGAACATGCGCCCGATATGCTAAAACAAGACAGTCCCAACCAGAAATGTTCTAAGAACATTTCGTGGGAACCACAAGAAGTTCTTAGAACATTATTTGGTGGGGCTATAGGCGAGCCGGGACGCTGCGCCACTGCTTGAAAGAGGGGGGGCGAGAGGAAGGGCAACGCAGCCGGACGACCACGAACGCGCGGGCGGCAGCAGGGCTGGACCTGAACGTTGGCCACGCAAGACCGGACAGGCCGTGCTGGCCGGCGGCAGGGGGCGAGAGGAAGGGAAACGCAGCGGGCGGCGGCAGGGCTGGACCTCAAATTGCTTGTCGTTCTGTGTTCGTTTCGTTGTTCGGTTTGCTGGTCCTGTTTGCCGGTGCCTCCCCGCCGAAGCGAGAAAAACAAAACACAGCCGAAGGCCAGCCAAACAGAGTTCAGGTCCAGCCCTGGGCGGCAGACTGGGGCCCTCGGGGCAGGCGGAAAAAAAGGAAGGAGTTCCAGTGGGGTCTCGACCACAAGAGAGTTTCCACAAGAAGCCCAACCCTGAGACCCCAGGACGTCCATGGATTTCTTGGGTGCGGGAACGCCACTCGCCTTCCACAGCAAAGCCCCCGAAACCCAAGGAACCCAAGGCACCCTGGAGGCAAGCCGGGTGTTTCTTGGCATGGGTCTCCACTGCACGATCAGTCGAACTATGCAATCTTATTTGTGTTCAGAGTGCTTCTGGCCTCTGTCTTGGGAAATGCTGTCGGGTTTTGCATCCCTGAGCGCTGCTTGGCCCCGTCAGGGGCCCTCCTCGACCGTCGGGATCACATAGAAGTTGGCGCAAGCCCATCACAACAAGAACTTGACAGCTTGACACTTCTTCCTCCGTGGACGTTCGCTCCGATCCGATCCGCAAATCCGACACACCCTTTGGCATTGGAACCGTTCGTGGTTCGCTCCGAGGACATTCAAATCATGCTCATCCTCATCCGAGGAAGCTGGAACCGTATCCTCCTCATCTTCTTGTGGGCATTCGATTCAATCCGACCCGATCCGCGTTGTTGCGCGTTGGGTGAACTTTGGCATCGGAGCCGTAGCTTTGGGTTCCACTTGGGTTAGTTTGAAAATCTGGGCGGCCCAAACTAGGCCTGCTGAACGTCAGGCGGGCGTGTGGGGTCGCTGGGGCGTGCGTGAGAAGCGCAAGCTGGCATCCCACGTGCTCGTGCTCCTGCGCATGCGGGAACGAATCTGGCAGGGCTGCTTCATGGTATGGTCATTCTGGGCATGGTCGTTTGGGGCATGCCCACAGGAGCTTACTGTGGTGGTGCCTCTAAAAGAAAATGGAAGAGGAGGAGGAGAAGGAGGAGGAGGAGGAGGAGGAGGGAGGAGGAGGGAGGAGGAGGAAGAGGAGGGAGGGAGGAGGACGAGGAGGAAGAGGAGGAGGGGGAGGAGGAGAAGGGGGAGGGGGAGGCGGAGGAGGAGGAGGAGGAGGAGGCGGAGTAGCAGTAGCAACAGTGTGCTGCGCTGCTCCTCCGCCTCCTCCACCTCCTGCGGCCTCGGCAGCGTGCGGCTCTGTGCAGTGCTCACCGGCGGCCTCGCCCCCGCCTCTGCAGTGGACGGCGTGCGGCCGCCACCACGGGGAGGGCGCCGCGAGGGAGCGCAAAACCATCGAGACTCCACGGGTGAAGCCTGGGCGCTGCCAGCTGCGGGGGGGGGGGGCGATGCGCCAGGGCGGCAGGGACGCGTGCACCTTTCGAGCTCCTTTGTGGCACCAGGGGGGCCCCTATGCCCGCCTCTGAGGTGTACAAAAGGCAAAAGGGGCACCTCTCTTCACCCCCCCTCCATTTCTCGCCCCCCCACCCAGTACGCAACGTCTGGGAAGCGGGGGTCAACGGCAGATCGCCAGAACAAGCATCCTCCGGGACACCTCGCAGAGCTCCCCGAATGCATTTCAAAAACAAACAAATCACTGTGTCGTCCTTCCTCCTCCTGCCCCCCATCCTCCTCTCCTCATGCTCTCTCTCTCCTCCTCCCCCTACTCCTCCTCATCCTCCTCCTCGTGGGACCTGGAACCTGGTGGCAACGGAGTTCGTCATGTGAACGATTCCAGACCCCCTCCCTGGCCAGCGGCCTTCGCAGCGGGGGGCGGGGCGGAAAAAGCTAGGAGTATCATTATGATGACGGGAGACTGCTCTTGGTCAACCTGTGCGCACCATGCTCCTCGATGCGAATATATGGAAGGGACGCCATGCTCTTTCAGAAGCCTCAGGCCGTATGACCAGACCAACCCACGGCAACGGTGATTCGAACAGGGCGTCCAGCAACGACAGCTGGAGTGGGTCTGGAGCTGCGCTTCCAACGGGGATTCTTGAATATGCAGCCCCTGCAGGAAGAGAGGCGGGCATCCACGTGAAGCCCCCAATTCCAAATGCAGGCGTGACCCTGCCCGTGTCACCCTCTTGGGGATACGCTTCTTGGGAGACGGGGGGACCACTACTGATTTGGGTGATGCAGAGGGGAGCCCTCGAAAAACGTGGGCATGAAGAGGCTCTGGGGCGAAGGCTCGACGACGAGGTATCGAATGCAGCGCCAGCAGTGGGAAGCATTCAGCGCAAGGTGGCGCTCCTTGTATTTGTCGCGGTTGATGGCGTCCTCTCGTACGTTTGCGAAGTACCCCGCCATCTTTGTCTCCACGGCGCTGAGCACCTCACGCGTGCAGACGTCTGGCACCGCGGACCCTACAACTGGAGACCGCTGAAGCGGGGCCCGGGCAGAGGAGGTCGGGGGATCGCGCCGCATCGCCGATGCATCGCCGGTGCATCGGCGACGTCGGCGTGGAGGAAATCCAGCTCCTTCTCGAGCCGTATCGCCGATCTGGCGTGATCCACCGACCCCACCCCGCCTGGGCAGCCTGGGGCAGCGTGCCGCAGCGTCCCCAGACCCCCGACGTCACGATTTGTTCATGACGTCGACCCCCGGAGGTGTAGAACCATTCCCCAGGACCGGTCGTTCATCCTGACTCGCTGCTTCACGGTCCCCAGGCCCAGTAAGGGCCCCCAGAGGCTGCAGCTAGCGAACAGCCTCCCGCCGTGCGTTTTTCGTGACTCGAGGGGGTCTGGGTCTTGCGCGCATGATCCTGGCACGCGGAGGCCACCAGCACCCGGCCTCGACGGCCCTGTGGAGGCGGAGGTCCAGGCTCTCTTTTGGGGGACGGTGGGGGCGACCGGACGCGTGAAGGCCCAGAGCCTCTGGCACTCCAGCCACATTGGCCCCGCGGTGGACCCTTCAGGGAGCCCATTGGGCCACCAGGCGTGCTGAGGGGTGTGCCAACCTCGCCCTTCCAATCATGCCGGCGTTGCCTCTGGCAGAAGGACACAGATCGCCATGAATATGAACGGTTTGGCGCTCCGCGCGGACTTCTGAAATCTGCGCTGGACCCCCCTCCCTGGCGCGCGGAGCGCGCCAAGGGCAGCGCTGGAGGCGCCGCCAGGTGGGTGGCCAGCGCGGATCCAAGAAACCCGCGCGGAGCGCCAAAAGTTTATGGATGTGGCGCTATCTCATCTTCGAACTGGGACCTTCGGCGAAGTGGAGCTCCCTCGAGCCGAAGCCGACCGCGGCAGCGGTGGGGGACCCGCGGAGGTCAGACTCATTGCGCCGCCACCCGCTCGGAACTCTTGCTCATGATGGCTCCGAGAGCGCTCATGCCCAGCGCCGAGAGCGCTCTTGCTCATGATGGCGGTGGTGCTTATATGTGCAAGGCCCTCCAGCTTCCCCTCCCCCTTCCAGGCTTTCTCCCTGCTCCCTCTCTCTCTCTCTTTTCCCGTCCCCCGCTCCCCTAGCTGCACCACCCCCCCCGCGCCCCCCCACTGACACCCTTCGCTGCGAGCAAGAGCATCGACAAAATCACGCCGGAAGATCCCGAACACACCTGTGTACTCCTTGCTTGGGCCAGACGTATCCGTGCCAGGAGGCCCTCGAGGTCCGAGCCGGAGCAACAGAACCGCCCGCTGTCGCCTCACCTCCTTGCCTCCTCCTCCTCCGACTGTATTACGGTCAAGAAAGGTCCCCGGACAACTCCCGGGGCCAATCCCGACCGTTCTGTTCTCCTGCATCGACACTTCACGGTCTCAGGGCCGGCGCGGCCCTCGGGGGGGCCAGGTCTCCGCGATCCTCGACCATCGATCTTCCTCCATCTCCTCATTCTCCTCCTCCTCCTCCTCCTCCTCCTCCTCCTCCTCCTCCTCCTCCTCCCCCTCCTCCTCCTCCTCCGCCGCCTTCTCCCTCTCCCCAGACCCCTTACATCGCCACTTTTTCACGGCGTGCACGCCGGCAGGTCCCCACCCCACCTCCTGGACGGGTCTCTCGCCCCGAGAGCCGTCTCCTGGCCGCCTCCGGGCGCCTGGCCGCTCGACGGAGGCCATCGCGTGTGTGCCTCACGACGCGACGGGGTCCGGGCCGAGGAGCCCTCCACGAGCCCAAAAACCCGCGCAGAAACAGCCCCAGGTCCCCATCCTTGAATCTCGAGCCTCTTGTCCTTCACGACCCGCACCCTCGAACCTCGGGGCTCCATCCTCGACCTCGATCCTCAAAGCTCGATCCTCGGATTTCGAACCTCGATCCTTGATCCTCCAGGTCGACCGTCGAACCTCGAACCTCGAACCTCGATCCACGCACCTGGAAGCTCGATCCTCGAACCTCGACCCTCGATCCTCGACCCTCATCCCTCGATCCTCGGCCCTCGAGCCTCGACCCTCGAAGCTCGAACCTCGAAGCTAGAGCCTCGAACTTCGAACCTCGAACCTCGAACCTTGAACCTCGACCCTCGATCCTCGACCCTCGATCCTCGACCCTCGAACCTCGAAACTCGAACCTCAAAGCTCGATCCTCGAACGTCGAACTTCAAAGCTCGACCCTCGAACTTCGACCCTCGATCCTCGATCCTCGAAGCTCGAAGCTCAAACCTCGAACTTCGAACCTCGAACCTCGGCTCTCGAACCTCGACCCTCGAACCTCGAATCTCGAACTTCGAACCTCGAAGCTCTAAACTGGAACCTCGAACCTCAAAGCTCGACCCTCGAACCTCGAACCTCGAACTTCGACCCTCGAACGTCGAACCTCAAAACTCGACCCTCGAACTTCGAACCTCGAACCTCGACCCTCGAACCTCGAACCTCGAACCTCGATTCTCGACCTTCGAACCACCACCCTCGACCCTCGATCCTCGAACCTCGACCCTCGATCCTCAACCTTCAAGCCTCGACCCTCAAACCTCGCTTCTCGAGCCTCAAAGCTCGATCCTCGATCCTCGACCCTTGAACCTCGATCCTCGAACCTCCAAGCTCGACCCTCCAATCTCGAACCGCGATCCTCGAACCTCGATCCTCGGCCCTCGAACCTCGAGCCTCGACTCTCGACCCTCGAACCTCGAACGTCGAACCTAAATCCTCGACCCTCGAACCTCGAACCTCGATCCTCGACCCTCGACCCTCGATCCTCGAAGCTCGAGCCTCGAGCCTCGAGCCTCGAATCTTGACCCTCGATCCTCGAAGCTCGAAGCTCGAAGCTCGATCCCCGAGCCCCGAACCTCGATCCTCGATCTCCGGGCCTTTAACCTCGATCCTCGAAGCTCGAAGCTGGAAGCTCGAAGCTCGAGCCTCGAGCCTCGGCGCTCGAGTCCCCGAGCCTGGAACCTTAATCCTCGAACCTCGACCCTCGATCCTCAAAGCTCGAGGCTCGAATCTCGAAGCTCGAGCCTCGAGCCTCGGCGCTCGAGATCCTCGAGCCTCGAGTGCCGTCCCCTGGCGGCGAGCCGCGGCCGAGGGGGCCGCGCGCCTTGAGCTCCGAGCCGCGGCGGCCGCGCACGCTCCCGAAGATGGCGAGCCGCTGGGCGCGCGAGAGGTCGTTGTCGATGAAGACCATCAGCGTGCCCCACTCCTGGGCGCGCGCAAGGGAGTACCCCGAGATCCTGCTGTTGCATTTTTTTTGCAACGGGCGTTTTCGCTCAACGTCGGGCCCCAGGACCCTCACAGATCGATCCAGCTCGAAAAATGAGGCAGAGCGATGGGGTCCGCGGCTCCAGTTGTGATTTTTTGTGATGGAAACAGTCAGCGTGCCCCACTCCTTGGCGGCGCGCACGAGGGGGTACTGTGGAGACCCATGTCAAGGAACATCCTGCTTGCCTCCAGGGTGCCCTGGGTTTCTTGGGCTTCGGTGGTTGTGCGATGGAAAGCGTGACGTTCCCACGCAAAAAATCAATGGACGTCCTGGGGCCTCAGGGTTGGGCATCTTGTGGAAGGTTTCTTGTGGGCCGGCCTCCACTGTAGCTGGGAGGGGGGGAAGGCCTCCGAGATCGGCCAGGGTGGGGAACCATCCGGGTAGTTACGTCACGAAGAATCGAAAATCTCGGAGATCCCGCGGATCTGGAGGACGTCTCGGGCGCCGCGGCCTGCGGACAAGATGCATGTCCATATCCAGTGCCTTTTGGACTATTTTGGAAGCGGCGCCACAAGGCCGAGGCGCACTGGATATGGATAAACATCCAGCCTCTGGGGGGCAAGTGAATCCACATCCAGTGTGCGCCTCGGGGTTTTCTTGGGAAGAGAGACAGAAACTCCACACTCCAGAGGATATATAGACAGAAGTCTTGCCCGCACGGCCGTCTCGGAGCGTTCCGGAACGCTCTGAGAGCGCGCTCTGGGACGGACTGGGCAAACTTTGAAACAATCAAGGAACACCGAGCCCCTCCCCAACGAAGAGGGTTCCTTCCTCAGCGCCCCGACTCTACGTCACGATGACTAGAAAATCTCTGAGATACCGCGGATCTGGAGGACGTCTCGGGCGCCGCGGCCGCCTCGGAGCGTTCCGGAACGCTCTGCGAGCGTTCTGGGACGGACGGGGGTGCACTCGTCCTCGTCCTTGCGCCCCGTCGGAGGAGGCTCGTCAGATCGGCCGCGCGCAAGTGAAGGGGCCCTGAGACACACACACACACACAAATACAAACAAATAACAGGATTCCCCATATTTCCCCAGATTTCCTGGGTTTCTGTCTTCCCCCCCACTTCCCATATATTCCAATATTTTTTCTGGGGAATCGCCGATTCATTGTGTCTGTGTGTTTCTTTCACTCCTGAGCAAGGCTGGCCCTGGGTGAGAGTGACCCTTGGCGTTCGCGGCTCTCTGGGGGGGCCCACGGGGGGACCAGACACAAGCGCGCAAGACACCACCATCGCATCGCATTGGTGGGCATTCGGGGGGCCCCAGCGGGCCGTACCAGAGGTCACTCTGGCGAGCGGCCACTCTAACGTGTAGTCGAAAGAGGGGGTGGTGGGGAGGGGTGTGGAGTGGAGTGGAGTGGAGTGGAGTGGAGTGGACTCCGCTGCGCAGCAGGTTCGAATCTTAGGAAGGCCTGGACAGACGAGCATTCGAACGCCGAGTAGCTTGCTCAGCTCGGCTCAGAACTTTGGGGTGTAACCCCCGTGCAATTCTGTCAAGGTACTCTTGCCCCGTGGCGGACTTCCTCTTACTACAGGGGCCCTTAAGAGATCGCAGAGCCTTATCCGCGATACCCCCACACTCTGTGCAAAACCAGATCTGAAGGGTCGGGTGAACATTCAGGGTATGCGTAGTGTGGGCCCAACCCCCCGCGATATGAACTCGCGACCCCTTTAAAGGCGAAAACACAACCCCATCGACATTGTACAGCCTAGGACATTCAGATTCGACGAATTCCTGAGCGGTAGCGAGGGATGCAGAACAGAAACAGGAGAGGCAACGTCGGCCGCAGTCGGCCAGACGGTGCCTGGACATGAGGGCAGCAACAGCAGCAGCTGAGGGAGGCGGAGGAGGAGGAGGATCGGGAGGAGGCGGGACCTCAGAAGGGCCCCCAGGGCCTCGGGTGGCATCCTTTTCCATTCTCTCAGCCTCCTGGCTGGCTGCCATGCTATCAAGCGTGGCTCGGAGGAGCCTCAAGCGGACGAGGTACGCCCTCCGCTCAGCCAGCAGGATGGGTTGGCGGACCTCGGCGGGCAGCCTGGCTCTGGCCGCTGCACAGCCCGCGAACTCGTCGGCGAGCAGGTTGCCGATGACAAGGTACCTGTTCACCTTCTGGGCGGCAACGTCCTGAGCCGTGCTGTGGGACGGCGTCCAGAGTACCGTCACCTCGGCGTGGCGGCGTGAGCTCATCAGGTCCCCGATGAGCTTCCATAGGTCGGCGTCCTCGCCTGCTGGGTTCAGGTAGGCTTGGGAGTACCAGCCCGCCGCAACGTACTCGCAGTCCGTCACGTAGGTGAGGTACCTGGTCGTGCACCAGAGCGCGAGGTACAGGGAGTAGAGCTCCCCTCTCGCCACCACTTGGCGCGGGCCACCAAGCTGGCCGAAAACTGCACCATGTAGGTTGATCTCGGGCAGCAGGCTGGCCACACATACTATGGCAACTCCGATCCGCATGAAATCACTGATGCTCGCATCTGGTCCCCCACTGGCGTCACCGAATATCTCGACTGGTGACTCAGCGCTCCCCGCCCCGAAGATCCCTTCGGGGAGCTCGCTGATGCCCGTGAACTCCAGGACCGTGTCCTTCGGTGGGGGCGGGGTCTGGGTCCACTGGCTCGGTAGCAACCCGCGTGGCCAGAAGCACTCGGTGGCGTCCGTCTGGGCCATCGCGGCTGAAACCAAAGACTCTGAGCGAGTATAGGGCGTGGCCGACACGTTCTTGCTGCACTGCCAGAATCTGTGCTTGGCCGTTTCTGGTGCCTCTCGGCAGCGGTCACACATGTTGCTGCCCTTATAACCCTTCAATTCATCATAGCGCCTCTGTCGCGTCCAATATCCACCTGTAGCAATATTGATCAGCAACTCGGTGAGGCGCACACCGTGAGGGAGTTGCCCAACTTGTTTGAGCAACAGCCGAAATGACCGATTGTCAACTCCATACTCGACTCCACCTCCGCAATAGTGTTTGGCAGCCGTGGTCCACACCACCTGGGCTGCCGACTGACGTACATCCTTCAACAATTCACGGTGTGTGTCCAGAAACTTATTGCCCGTATATATGGCGTCTGGAAATTGCCATTCCTCCGACCCCGTGGGCGTGGTGTACGACCACGTGTCCACATCCTCAGGGTTCCAATTGATGCGGAGGAGGGTGAGGATTACTGCAGACACAGGGCCACGAACTGCACGCACCTGATGTTGAGGGTCCAGCTGTGACAGATGGTCTCGGACATGATGCCAGACTTGTCGTACTCGCTGGCGCAGACCTGGCTGTTGCTGCCAGACGCTAAGCCACATGTCCACGGTCCTGGCTGGCATCGCCACTGCAGGGTCCCCTCCTGGCGCTCTCAGGTCCAGAAGGGTAGTGAGGCAGCGGCCTCTAGTAGCAGCTGCGCAGATCTGACCGAGTCGACGGCGGTGGGTGGTCAGCTGGTGGCCGAACATCCCGTGCACCTCGAAGCCGTAGGAGCCCGCAGGTTGGCAGCCGTTGCGCTCCAGCCGCGTCGTGATCCCGTACCGCCGAGTAGCTCGGCTGAATCTCTTCACCTTCTCGTTCATCGCTCCGTGTTTGATCTGTCTCTGCGTCCTGGTAGCACGGCCCTGCTTGCCGCAGCTGAAGTCCACCCCCAGGTACGGCGATTGCGCCAGAGCCCTGACTGGGAAACCCTTGAGCTTGGCAGCCCGGGCTACAGCACGAGCGTCAGCGGCGTTCGTGCACATGACGACTGACTTCTTGGCCAAGTTGAGGCCTGCCTTGGCAAGCTCTTGGCCCGCCTTCACAACTCCGCGTATGAGGTTAGCCCTTACTGCCTGGCGTGAGCCCGTGATCTTCTGGCAGATATCGTCTATCCAAACGCGGTGGTTCATCCTGGGTGTCGCCGTAACCACCACCTGCATCACGAAGTGGGTGAGGATCTTGGCGAATCTGGTTCCCCCTCGCAGCCCCTGGATGACTGACTGGCAGGGCTCGAAGGGGGTGCACACTGCTCCCTCCTGGGATAATGTCCGCATCGTGATGCACTGGAGGAGCTCCAAATATAAAATGACTGGTGGGAAATGGAGCCTCAAGGCCGCCCTCGCGAGGGGAAGCCAAGGTATTGAATCATAAAATTCCTGAACGTCAAGCAGTCCTTGACCAAATTCCATTCGCATCCAGTGCGCTACCTCTTCATCAATGGCATGAAGATATGCTTCGCGTAAACAACTGTTCCCAGCAACTGCGGCATCCCATGCCTGTTCTTCATCTTTGCTCCATTGCTTAACTATAGGTTCCCGAACGTGGGACCAAAGGCGGCCTATCATAGGTATCATACCTATGCCTCTGTCGCCCTGGGATTTCTTGGGAGTCAAGAAGATCACGATGAGCTGTGTCTGAGCTGGCCAAGCGAGCAAGGCTTCTGCATTCTTCAAAATGTCTGTAAATTCCTCCATGGCCTCACGAGGGAGGCGTTGAAAGTCGACTGGGCTCAGAACATCCACCCCCAGCCCTGCCTTAGCCTTCATGGCCTTGGCGCTGGCGTAGACCAGGTCTGGGGTAAGCTCAGGAAGATCATCACCCTGGGCCGCTTCTCGAATGAGTCGAAACACTTCCGTTATCTCGCTGACGTCAGGGGGCCGTGGAGCCCACATCCGCTTGAAGGTCACCGCTTTATGCTCCATGATGTCGGCTGGATGAACGAGGGTGCGATCCCCCACCTCCAGCTCACTCGGCGGTAGTGGGTTCGCCTTCAGCGACTTGTGGAGGATGCCCACGGCCTCTGGCTGCATCACAAAGGTCTTAAAGTTGGAGATCGACTCGTGAACTGCCGCGCGCTGAGCCCTGCTGGCCACACGCTTCGCTGCAATGACATAGTTCTCCAGCACTGGGGTCGACAACCGACTCGGGTCACCGAGAACTGCCGGCCACTGGCCCCACGGGGCCTCGCGACCCGCATTCAATAGGT